CCATAATCCGCCTATGCAAAGCTGTGCATGCAGAGGGAGGGACTGGTGGGCTTTAAGCTTCTCTCCGCCACCCCCACCTCCACGCTCTGAAAGTTATATATCAAATAAACTTGTAAAAATTAGAGAAAAAAAATTATAAAAACGTTTTCAAAATAAACAATTTTTTGCAGCGGGCAGAGCCCTCAGGAAGGGGAAAACGGCTTAAATTTCGTGGACGACTGAAACAAATATCCAGTTGATTGTCGAATTCGGTTACTCTTGGTCCAACTAGCACATTGTTAACAGATATTTTGCACTGAATGAGATCGACAATATTTCTTCTCATATGCATATCATTCATTCTGATGTTACCACAGTACGCTCAACATAAGGCCCATCTATGAAGGCAAATTTTTGTTGTAGGGTGGTTATTATTACTGTTTTTACGACATCGTAGTTGAAATCAAAGGACTGTAGACACTATATAGGAAATAGTCTAAGTGTCAGGCTTTCCAAGAGAATGGGAGTTAGTGGAAAGAAAAACTTGAAGGAAAGACCCTCCTCCCTCTCTTGCTTCCCTGATGCCCCCTTCCGTCGCGTTGAAAAACCTAATATTCAGACCGTGTAGGGTAGTGATGAGCTGAGTTAATAAACTTGCACGAACAGAAGATATCAGGACATGCGCACCATTTCTAATGTTGTGAGAGCCAGCTTTTAATCGAGGCCTCTTCCGATGCTTTAAAGTCCCCTTTCAGCTTTGTAACATAGATAAACATGTATTGAATCCTCACTGAACACTTCAACAAGGGAACTCCACTTTGCCGCTTGTCTGCGGAATGGCTTCATTCTTCGATTGAACGCTGTCTCAATCGCTAGAAGATCAACTACGGGCAGAAGTGTGTGCTAATTTCTTGGAATCTACGGTATCGAGCCATGAGGCCTTACACTGAACTGTATCCCAAATATTTCTTTTTGTTATTTCAGGATTGAAAAATACTGTATCGGTCCGTTTCGAGATGTCTCTAACATCTAAGATCGAAAAGGTGGAATAGACGGCCCGCGTGGTCAATGTCTACTATTTATTACAATGATATACTCAGATTTTACATTTTCTCTGCTCCATAAGACAAAATATTGTCCCTTGCGCTTCTTCATTTTTCAATTAACGAGTTCAATATTCAAGTTCAGCTCCACTGAAGACAGTTTTGGATCAATTGAAAACAATTGGGTCCACAGCAGTTTCGTGTGAGTTAATATGGCGAGGAATATGATTAACAGAACTATACGCTCGTACACGTATTTAGATTAGTCTCTACTTATGATCTATAGGAGGAAAGACTCAGATGACGTCTCAATAAGCAACATATTACTTTTTATTACATGAAATAAATAGATTACATGTTGCCTCGCATTCTCTCTCTTCTACTCCCCAAATGCGAGGTTTATCTTCGGGTTGTTGTATCTGTTGTAGCCCCTCTATCTCCGTCCAGGTCTAGCCGGCTGCCTTTACCCGCCTTGTCCTTTCTGCTTTCCTGACTTTTTAAGTCCGTCGGAGGAGGGCTACCCGCAGCGGTTGACCAGAAAAGAGTTTACAATCTAACTTGCTGGTCGTGATGGAATTGAAATGGGGAAAGAAAAGTTGCTTTCCTCAGTGCAGAAATCTACCTTCCCCAAAATAACAAATAGGGATTCTTCAGTTCTACTCCACTGAAGACATTTTTGGATAAATTAAAAAAACAATTAAGTCTGAGGCAGTTGCGTGTAAGTTGATATAGCTAGGAATATGATAAACTGATTTATACGCTCGTACACGTATTTTCATTGGTTCCTACTTATGATCTATTGGAGGATAGACTCATAGATGACGCCTCAATTAGCAACCTTTTACTTTTTATTACGTGAAATAAATAGATTCCACGATGCCATGCGTTTGTTCAGTAATAGATTACCGAAGAAATCGAAATATGGCGAGAATATCAGTGACGCATGCGCACTCAGCTGTACCTGAGGCCACTCTTTTGTTCTAATCACTTTTTTACATCTCTGACATGATTTTTTTATGAACAGACACATGGCAACATGAAGTCTTTTTGCATGGCAACCATAGACACTATCCTAAAACCTGTGAAAGTCGGTAATGACACAATAGAATATTCGGAGAGTTTTTTTAATCCATTGATCGAGCTTTGTCACGGTTTCAAAGTCAATTTTTTTTTATCAAAATAGATTTTAATTTCGTCAAAAAGAAACACGTACTGCCATACAGAAACGAGTTGAAAGACTTGAGGGCGATCAGATAAAAGAGTGGACGAACTTGTTATAATTGATGGGTAAACTATTTGAGGTGGAGGCGAACTAGTATTGGGAAAACTTGCAAAGGGGCGAAACCTCCAGATACTATTTACAACTGTATCACCTGATTTTCCTCTAATACAACTGCTTCTGGCTCTATATTTGCATCTAGACTCTGTTCTCTCATAATTTCATTTAATATCTGTCAGGCAAAAGAGTATAAAGAAATCAACAGATGAAAACCTATTACATCAACTGAAATACGTGTGCAAATTTTTTTTTTTGGGAAGAGAGTTCATGCTCAAGAAGCCTCAGCCACATATGCACATGGAAAAAAATTACAATTTCAAATAAAAACATTCTGTGCATATCAATTAGAAGTTTTAACAATATACTGAGAGACCGTTAGGACCACTGGATTAGAATCTTGAAAAAATATCACTAGTAGTTACATGGCAATGCTATGTCACTGTGGAACATTTTCGAAAGCGAATTATTATGAATATTATGAATGATACAGAAGTTTAATTGCTACGCAAATTAGACACAAGCAGCAGTTCTAAGAAACAATTACCCCATTCGCTCAAAGAATGTCCATTGAAATAGAGAAATCATCGCACGTTTAGCAGTAAACCCGTGAAAAAGTTGTTTGCTAGCTGGTAATTTTTCACAACTGGATCTTAGGTATTTGCTGGTCTTTTGCTTTCCCTCCAAGACTGTGACTTAATTTTCCGCTTAAAGACTGTAATTCTCAACCTTAAACTACTACATAAAAGAAAAAAAAGCGAAGGAAAACATCTAGACCACTAGACTTAAGGATTAGCACAACGAAAACGTGAGACCTGTGAAATTTACATTCGCTACCTCGAAAGTGCTGAAAGTTTGTTGTGCATCAGTGAAATATCGGTAAATGAAGATCAGCGTCGATGAAATACAAAGCACTCAAACTTGTATGGAATTTGTTTCAATTGTTGTCAAACGTACGGAAGCCGAAAAAGGACAATCCAAAAATATTTTTTAAATCCCTAAAAATATTTCAAATCGCAATATTCATTTTAAACTCACTGTCGAAAAGTTTGACAAATCCAAAGATATTTTGCAAATCCAAAAAAATATTTAGAAATCCAAAAAAATTTTTTCAAAATCCGAAAATATTTTGCGAATCCAAAAAAACATTTTGAAATCCAAAAAAATATTTTCAAAATCCGAAAATATTTTGCGAATCCAAACATATATTTTGAAATCCAAAAACATTTTTTCAAAATCCGAAAATATTTTGCAAATCCAAAAAAATATTTTGAAATCCAAAAAAATTTTGTGTTAAATGGGAACACTAAGAACTGTAGTACGATCGAATCAGCGCGCGTGGCGCAAGCTGAAAGCAATCAAGACAACTTAACGATCGAGACAGTGAAAAAAATAGCTGTACATCTACAAAGGCGAACGATTCAAAAAAGACGCAATCCCTGATGTGCGTACTCATTTTAAACAAACTGAGACATTTCTGTATACACACTATAGTTCCTGTCACCCACAAGGAATTAAAAGAGACTTCATAAAAGGGGAGACCCTTAGACTTCTAAGAACAAACTCCTCTCAAACAATATTTGAGGAGAAAATTACAAATGAAGCGCATTTGCTAAAGAGAGGCTACCGAGAGGACCTCATTAGCACAACCCTCTCAGAAGTGAATTAAAAAACAGGAAATTAGCTCTTCAACAGAAACAAAAGACGAACCAACGAATCTTGCCTTTTGTGTTACACAATACCAACCATCAGTGCCAAACCTAAAGCAAATTCTCATGAGACACTGGNCTAGGGTAGATGAGGGTTAACGTGGTAGAACATGGGTTACCTAGGATAGACGAGGGAGAACGTGGTAGAACATGGCTTTGCTAGGGTATGTGAGGGTGAACGTGGTAGAACATGGGTTACCTAGGGTAGATGAGGATGAACGTGGTAGAACATGGCTAACCAAGGGTAGATGGTGGTAAACGTGGTAGAACATAGGCTACCTAAGGTAGATGGGGGTAAACGTGGTAGAACATGGGTTACCTAGGATAGATGGGGATAAACGGGGTAGAACATGGGTTACCTAGGGTAGATGAGGATGAACGAAGTAGAACATGGCTAACCAAAGGGGAGATGGGGGTAAACATGGTAGAACATGGGTTACATACGGTAGATGAGGGTGAACGTGGTAGAACATGGCTTAGCTAGGG